TTAGCTTTTCATACATATCTGGACTCAGTCCATCCAGGACCCATTTAAGGGGGGGGGGGGTGGCGCTTCAGTCCATTAAAAAAGATAGAAAAGTAACAGTACCGTAATATCATTATTGCAACCAACTGCATCTTTGTACTGCTAGTCTTAGGTAAAACCAGATGGATTTTGTGTACCTGTCAAAGTGCAGCCTTCAGGCTGTGCCACACCTCTTTCCTTCTATCTTAAAACATTACAAAGGGCAGGCACAGGCTTTCCATCATACTCAAAAACATCCATTTTTCTCCCCTCCCTGTTTTAACATCTAGCCTGATGAAGAATTCTGATAAACTCTTGCAGACTACTTTGTGACTTTACTTGATTCTAATACAGGTATTGTTCTCCTGCTGCTCTTGACTCATTGACAGGAAGTGACAGATGAGAAGATGGCTTGCTTATCAGACACAGGAGTCAGAATTTCAACCAAGACTGATTCTCCAAACTGGTCAATTACCTTAAGATAAGATTGCTTAATACAAGCAAGTGAAATCTTTTGTAGACCTTGAAGCCTGAAGTTTAACTGACAGATGAAGGTTAACAACCTCTCTATATAACAGATTGGAGCCAGGGAAGCCAGTCAAGGATTTCATCTACAAGACTTACAAGAAATTAGAGCTACCATCCATTAAATGTTCAATCAATTATTCATTTACCATTTATATTATACTAGAAATAAGGCTTGCTGTGGAAATAAATACAATAAGCTTTAAAAAGAGGCTCTGGGAGAGTGCCAAGGCCTTGGACATTCAGTGTCAATTTGCTGTGGAGACCTGAGCAGGGTATAACGACAGAGTACACCATTTTCTCCAGAGGAACGGATCTCCATTACCTGAAGAACAGTTGTAATTCTAAGTGATCTCCAGCCCTCACCTGGAGATTGGCAACAATTGTTACCCAAGAGGAAATGGCTGGTTTGGAGGGTGGAGTCTATGGCATTGTACCTGTCTGAGGTCCAACCCCTCCTCAACCCCCACCCTCTCCAGGCTCCACCCCTCAAATCCCCAGGAATTTCCCAACCTGGAGTTGGCAACCCCATCTCCTTCCCAGCTAACCATCAACCTACCGTTATCTGCCCCTCTGACTGCAGCTGACTTCTGCCCTCCCTCCTGGAGATCAGTTGTAATTCTGAGTGATCTCCACCACTCACCTGGAGTTGGCAACCCTATCTCCTTCCCAGCCAAACATCAACCTGCTATTATCTGCCCCTCTAATTTCAGCTTTCCATCTCCTCCCCCCTCCCTCCTGGAGATCAGTTGTAATTCTGAGTGGTTCCGCAGGAGGGAATGTCTGGTTGGGAGGGTGGAGTCTATAGCATTGTACCTATCTGAGGTCCCACACCTCTTCAAACCACACCCTCTCCAGGTTCCATCCCTCAAATCTCCAGGAATTTCCCACCTGGAGTTGGCAACCCT